ATTTTTCTCACAGAATCTAGGAACTGCTAACTAACAGCCTTTACGTCATCTACAGTGTCAAATCTGCTCTTTATTGCCTCCAATAAGGATTTTAATTCCATTAAAATCTATTGTTGAATTTCTTCCTTATCTCACGATGTTCACTTTCCTACTCAACTTTTTGTTGTTGTTGTTAATCCTTGATATATTTCCCATTGCTTTTCAGAGAGAGCGAAAGGAAGGGAGGGGGAGAGAGAGAGAGAGAAACATCAATGTGAGAGAGACACATCCACTGGTTGCCTCCTGCATGCACCCTATCTGGGGCACAAACCTGCATATACTAGGTATATGCCCTTGACTGGGAATGGAACCCTCGACGCTTTGGTGCCCAAGCCAAAGCTCTATCACTCAGTCACACCAGCCAGGGCAGCTTCTTTTTTAATCTCACTTTGTCTTAGAACCTCAGTTTGTTCTCTCCTTGCAAGCTTTCTAGCTCTGTTTCATAAGGCCACAGCTTTTGCATGTTTCCTGTTCATACAGAATGTCCAATGTGCCAGGCACTGTTCTAAATCTTTTACACACATTAACTCATCAAATCCTTGTATCGTCCTGGGTTAGATTTGGCCAATAAGAGTCTCATTAGATTTTGAAAACAGAAGTGAAATAGATGCCTCTATTTTCCATGTAAAGCCAGACACATGGGCAGACAAAGAATTCCCAGTGACTTAGCAGCAAGCTTTTCATATTTAGACAACAGTCATTTGAGATTCTGCAAAAGGTGAGCTAATAAACTAGAGGAAAGCAAAACCTCCACCAAAACTGTCCTTACAGTAAAGTTCAAGCACTTGGAGATGTGAACATTGAGCGCTGAGGGATGTCAGCCAAGATGGGAGCCACAGACAGACACTTGCTGGGGCTGAGGGCAGGGTGAGCAGACAGACTTACAGACACCAAATGCAACTGGCCCAGAAACATTCATCTCTTTGCTACTCTGGTGAAGGTTAACATGATTCTAAGTGAGAAGAAACTAGAGAGGATATGTATTTTTTAATTTTGTGGAACACAAGTTGTCATTATCAAAAAATACCTGTATCATCATTATAAATTCTCACATTAGAAAAACTCTCCAGGTATCACCAAAGGGGCACACACACTGGAAAGTCTAGGCTTATTTCTGCCTGGGAATACTGTACTTAAAAAATTATTAAATTATATAAATATTTTTATAAGATAATGTAAACCTTTTAAGTATAAGTAAGTGGAGGATCTGATATTAAATAGGAAAATAAGAAAAGTTTTCAATCTTCTAAAATAGGAAGTAACATATGGAGTTGTATCTAGAACACTTTACCATTATTATTATTATTGTCAGTTTATAAGAACATTTTAGAGTTGACTAAGTTTTCTTAGTCATGGTTATTTTATCATCACCACAATCCTGTGAAGAAGGCAGAACAGATAATACTAACTATTCTGTCTTAGAGATGAACAAAATACTAATACACCTAGTTTGATGCTAAGTCCTAAAGCACTATTATTGTAAGTCACATCAAGGAACCACATAAAGCCGGAAATGTTTTCCTAGCATCATTTTTCCTGATTTTTCTTTAAGTTTTTTTCATTTTCTGATGAAATAGAAATTTTGTCTACTGATAAGTTTTTATTAACATTAAGAAACTACATATATCATTCTTGAAAGGAACATTAAGTCTCTTGCTTCCCCGGCTGAATACGTCTTTCTAATGCACACTGAATTGATTACCAATATGGTGTTTTGGAAAAGTTTACCACTCCAATTTCATGACAAGTCTATACAGACCACATTCCTTATAAAACTTAAAATTGCAGCTTAAAATTTGTTTGCCTTACTTCAGAACTATTAGAGTTTTTGTCTCTGGTAAGATTGATGAGAACTAATAATGTTACTGGGGTTTTCATTACAAGCCCATCTTTAGGGAAAAGCAACAGAATAGAAACCTCCAGTTTCTCTAATTACATTAGAAAAATTTGGCAGGGGTACATCCCTGAAGATACAAAAGGATTTAGATTGCCTCTTTTAAGTCATTTTTTTATTATCATATCAGCAATAAGGGTTCGGGAAGTTTTTGGATATGCCCTTCTGACCTAAATGCTCCTTAGTATAAATTTTATATGGATTTGGACTTCAATGTAGTCTTACTTCTTTAGATTGTTTTGAGTTAACTGTGATAGCACTGTAAATTCCTAAATCACCCTTGAAAACTGGAGGGGGACTCACTAGGACTAACATTTTATGGAGTGGCTCTTCCGCAGAGCCCTTCACATATATCATCTCATTTAATACTTGCAGCCCGAATGAGATAAAGATCATTGCCCCGATTTTAAGATGAGAAAACTGGGAGTTGGAAATGTTAGTAACTTGTCCAAGGTCATGCAAGCAAGTGGCAAAGCAAGCATTTTAGCTCTGAATTGACTCCAGATTCCCTTTCAATTGTATGCTGCAGTGGACGATAGTGAGAAATATGTTTTCCTTGTTTCATGATCACTGATTCTGGGGGTGACAAAGGAGATTAACTGCCCCCAAATGCTCTTCTCCTTGGAACGCTCAGTTATTCAGAGGGGAAAATTTAGTTGGCCGGTCCCACAGAATCCTCTCCCCATCCTCTTCTGCTTACACACATCTACATCTCTAGAGGCAGAAGGAGAGAAAGGTTCTGAAACAAAAAGTGTTCCCTGTGAACCATGGATAAATATTATAGTAAAAGGTCTGAGTGGAAAGAAGGCAGAAGTTAAAAACATTGAACTATCGTTGTCCCAGTTTCTTGTGTCTCTCTAACAGCTACTCAAACACCGACTTGATTTGGATGGAAACATAAAAAAGGGTAAGCAAAAATGCAGACTTGCATTGTTTCTAGGTTAATTAGTTGCACATGTGGCAACACATTTGATTTTAAATTAAATCAAGTGATTTATAGGCTTAGTGTGAAGTCACAGACCACGTTATGAAGGGTAATTCTATTAGTAAATTCTCTGCCAATGGGCGTCATTAGACTGAAGGAGGCAGGGTTGTCTCTCGTGGTGATTCGGTGGCCTCACCAGCTGAACCACAAGGTAGCTGTACTTGCTCTCCTTGCGGCTTTCCAGACCTGCGTTTAAATTTCATATTGCAAGGACAACAAGTGTATTATTCTAAGTGCCTTGACTCTAGAGGAATAGCAACTACTTCACAGACAGAACACAAATATCCTTCTCACTTTAAATCTGAGTAAATAGTCTTAAACACTTTCTAAATCCTATTATATGTACAAACTTTGCATGTAAAGGTTGAGCTGGTTAGGCAGAGGAGTGTAAGTAAATACACGCTTCTCCCATAAGTACACAGTATTGAACGGAGAAAAGGGCTTTATACTCTGTTCCCTCAACCCCTCAATCAAAGACCTTTGAAAAGAAAAGGCAGACTTAAAATAATAACCCCAGTTCTATGATAAGGAACTTCAGTATTTGAATTTCATTGAATTATAGAGTTAGAAGGGCCTCCTGAGGATCCTTGCAGTAACGCCCCCTCCCCAACCCACCACCACCACCTTCTTCTTTCCTGCAGTGCACTGGAGCTGCTGATCTGAATTCTGATGACAACCTATTTGGTGCCCATTTCAAAAACTTCATTTAAAATCTTGACCAATAACTAGTGACCTTTAAGAGGGAGGCAGCAGGCCTAACAGAAAGAGCAAACCCAGGGCTTTGATTCTTTAGTCTCATTTTTCTCATCTACAAAATGGGAACCGGTACAGGGGTTTTGTGAGAACTGGCCATGATCAAAGTCTTGGCACAGTTCTGCTACACAGCAGTGCTGGCTAAGAGGTAGTTATTATGATTATTATAGTCATTCTGTAAGCAAACTGTTCTTATAAAGCATCCCCTTAAAATGACCTTGCTGGTAATAACAGACATGCAGCTTCTTCATCTCTTATCAATCTCAAACCATCAAGGAAAAGTGCTTTGGTGTTGGCATCTGTTTATACATTTGGATTAAAACGTAAAACCTCACTCAGTTTTTACTTAAGCATTGACCTACTGCAATTTAATATCAGAAAACTGCTGCCATCCTGCAAAGAGACACTCTGCACAGCTGGGGCTCTGGGAGCTCAGATCTGCAAAGCACCTTTAGTAAGAGAATTAAGTGGTGGGACAGACCCTGTGTGAGATGACAAAGATGTTTCAGGTATTTTTGACAAAAGGGAGTTTCTTGACCCAACTAGGACAGACGCTTTATCTTAACTGATTCTAACCAATAAAGAACCTGGCAAATAATTTTTATATTCCTTCTAGAAAGCAGAGAATTCATGATGGGGAGATAAATAAGCTTTCCCTGAGATTTCAGGAAGAAATATTTCTTCCAGGCCACCATGAGAATGGTGGCAACTGAGCAAACGCGTGAAAGCTTTGATGTACCTCCTGACTTAAAACCAAGAGAGATTCGTTTTCTACAGACTCACGTCCTCCCTCTCAGCTTCTGCTTCTAAGCCAGCCATTAGGCATCTATTGATTTCCTATTCTCTGTGGGTCTTTAGTTTGACACGCTGCCCCCACAAGCATTCCAAAAGAAACAGGAGTGGGGGACAATCTCGCTAGCATCTGTGAATGAGTCTTCCCAGGACCACTGATTTGCAGCACTCTTTCTCCCAATTCTTCTGCAATCCTAGGCAGGAAACCATGGGAGCTTCGCCATCAAGTCAAGGAATTTCTAAAAATTCTAATAACCCAATAGGTCCAAAGGATCCATGTGTGTCTTGTTCAAAGAAGAATTTCCAATGCCTGCAAGTGCCTGGCATTTTAAAGGCATTCCAGGAGGTTTTAATAACTGTTAATGGAATAATTCAGATATCTTTCTTACTGAACACAGAGAGATAAAAAGAAAAGAAAATTTAAAGTCATTTTTTTAAAGGGAGTGTCATAATATTTAAATTTCAACAAAATATCCATTAGCCTCACGGTGGGTCATCCACAATTTTCCAGAAAGTTGTGGGGAGTGGCTTCCTTACATTACTCTGGTGTTTATTGACCTCCATGGCATGTTTGATCTCAGGTGGCTCCTTCATATGGGTGTAATCTGAGAGTCCTCTGGCAGCATCATGTTTCTGTTTGTAGGCGATCTTTAAAAAAAAAAAAACACAAAAAACAAAAAAAACACACACACAATAAACCATTACTCTCATTTAGAAGTGCATTAAGTTTTTACCTGTTAAATTTCAGAGTTTTGCTAGGATTTTGTATATTTGAATATCACAACTGTTGGTCAAATTTGCCTGAGTCTCTATAACAAGATAATATACATAACATTTTCATTTTAGTGTTTCAATTTAGGCTCCTAATTCTAAATCTTTGTCGCTTATTTCAAAAGTCGTTGACCATAGGCTGAAATCCCAACTTTCGTGTTCATCCAGTTTAAATCTCAGCTATGATTGTGGGAAATCTCCCACACCCAAGAGCAGTTAGGGTTCTAAATGTTCAAGGTCTGAGTCTTGGGAAAGCAACTGACAAAGTGGGGGAAATGATCAGATATTTAAAAGTGAATTTTTCATTTTTTAATTAATTGTTATGATTTGATGAAGACCCAGCTATAATATTTAAATGCCTTAACCTGTGGGAGAAAATAGAAAGCAGGCAAAAAATCTCAGATATGTCAAGCCCAGTCCTCCGTTAGAGAAAGAAGCATCATACCAACGTATCCATCACCACCAAGTTAACTTTGTTCTGTACTGAGAAGGCATGAGTGTGATTACTTCAGAAGCAACCAAACTCGACGGAAGAGTTAGAAATTAAAGATCTAAAAGACAGTAAACAAATTATCCCCTTACTCTTAGCCTATTCCATTATCCTATTTATTTCCTTCAGAATTTTTAGTTACTGTGTTTCCTTTATGTCATTTCTTTTCTGTCTGCTCTTACTAGAACATAAATGTCTGGTTCACTGAAGGCTCAGAACCCCAAATACTGTCTGGCACAAAGTAGACAGTAATAAATATTTGCTCAAGTGAATAAAAAATGAAATGAATAACTGAATGAATGAGAATAAACCAGGAATAAATTATTCCAAAGTTAATATTAAATATTTATCAAAGGTTTAATAATAAAAAATATTAAATGGAATTACAATTACTTAGCCCAAGAGAATAAAGTAGCCTTAAAAAGAAAGATTAGAACAGTGTTAATCAAGAACAAAACAAAATCTAATTTTCAATGAAAAAGAATTAAAGTTAAACTTAGGGAAAATTTTTTTACCCATATGATTTCCTTGAGAGCTATGCCTGTATCGTACACATGTTTTAATATCCTGTGCCAATCACAGTGAATGACAAAGAGTAGAAAGGAAATAAATGTTTAGTGAATGAATAAATTAATTATTCTCATGAACTTAAACTCCTCATAGTCTTTAATAAACAGAATTAATCACCCATTTGACTTAGATAACATACTTGTCTAGAGGATTAAAGTAATAATTAAATATTTAAAAAATAAAATCATCAACTATAACCACACACAAAAAAAAGAACAACTATCAGTGTTTAAATACCTTCTCTGCTTCCTCTACTGAGTTTTTCTTGATAACTAATAAGAGAGAACTCAATCTGGGGCATCACAACCTCTAAATTTTGAAAGCTGTGATAAAAATTTCTTCTTTCAATGAAATTTAACTCTACCTGCCCATAGCCGCATCTATTTGGCCATACAGGTGGAGTCTAGTTCACAAGGCAGAACTTTAAACAGGGCAACATAGCTGTCAATGACTTCCCTTCTTCCAGATTGTCTGCGTGCATTGAAGCACTGAACCCCTATCCTCAGCCCAAATTCCAATGTATCCATCTCTTTCTTAAGGTGCCCACATGTTCCAGACCTACCCTCATTAGAATTATTCAACTTAATCCAGACTACCATCTCTCATGTGCTGTATGTGATTAATGCAGCCATAGATGACACTGTTTCCTTTTGATGGCTGTGTTGAGATTCCTGTCAACACCCTTAAGTCTTGTTCAGTCCCACCCAGCCCTGTCCCCACATCCAATCCTGCATCTCTGGTTGATTATTAGGGCTCACATGCAGCACCTCACCTCAGCCCAGGGATCATTCATCTTGTCAGAGCCTGTCCAGTGACTTAATCCATCAGGATGTCTAACTCTGGTAAACATATCTTTACATTTTTCACCAATTAATTATGTTAAACAGGAATCCCATTAAGAACCTTCATCTGGGTTGAGAAAGTCTATTATCTTAATTCCATTATATTCTATATTATATCTTGGGGTGGGGGAAGGGGAAGTTAATGAGGGGCTAAGTCTATTAAGCCAGGAAAAGAAAACTTCTATGAAATATGTTCCTTCTACTTAAATAAAAAGAGCTAGTATGTGCCTGTCTCCTTTTTGCTAGATGCCTGGTTTATGTTGCATCTTAGACTGACTATTACACTTGGGACTTTATAAACATAACCAATACAGCTGATCATTTTGTGGATTATCATAGAAATGGTGAGTCATCAAACATGGTTTTAAAAAGCACTCTTTGTTAAAAAGAGCTATGTAATTTTCTACTTGCAGCATTAAAACAGTCATTTCATTTCATGTATAGCTGCTACTAAGCACCACTTCAGAATTAAAATTAGATCAACTTGGAGGTGGCTGAACTTTCATTTATCATATTAATGTTCATCTTTAAAATAGCTAATGGAAAATTATATCAAGCTAATAAATTTCCTGATGAATTTGATTTCCTAGGATTTGTCATTATTGTGTGGCATTTCCCTAGATTAGCACTTGTTTCCTTCATACCCTGGGAATTAAGATGGCTGTGGTACTTACAGACACCTACCTCATGGAGGATACTTGCGATAGTCTTACATACTTTATATATAAACTAGTGACCCAGTGCGTGGATTTGTGCACATTGAAAGGAAATTAATTAGAATAAATATTTTAATATTGCTATTTGCCCTTTCTCTATAATAGAAATGTCAACCAAATTCACAATCGACAATGACAGATCGAAACACACCTCCAACAGGCGCCGGCAAGAGCTTTATATGTAGCGCACATGTATGAGTCAACATTTATTTTTAAATTGCCAGTACATGTCATATGTACTGGTCGGATGGACAGATGGATGGACAGATGGATGGTCAGTCACTTAGCCTTTTATATATATAGAGAGAGAGATGCTTATATAAGTAATCTATCTATATAAAACCCTAATATGCAAATCGACTGAACAACAGAACAGCCAGTGGAATGACTGGTTGCTGTGACGCACATTGACCACCAGAGGGCAGACGCTCAACACAGGAGCTGCCCCAGCCTCCAGGCCCCAACCGGTGGCGGCAGGGGGTGGGGGGGGGGGGGGGGTGAGCTGGCAGTGCCAGGCCAGCCAGGGCAGGTTCGAGCAGGGACCCAGATCACCCCGCCGGTCACCCATAAATTGGCCCTGTTCACTGGCTAAGCCTAGGGACCCTACCTGTGCAGGAATTTCATGCACCGGACCTCCAGTATGTGTATATTTATCTTACTTATTTGATCACATAGTATATCTTTATATCTCATATATACATATATAAGATGTGCATACATTTCTAACTTATATTATATTTTATAACTATTACATAGGTATATGTTCTTCTAATTGATAGCACAGATATCTCTGATGGTCCTGAAACAGGACCTTGTGGCCACTATAGACAAAAACAGGCTCTCATAAACCCCCTGGAACAGATGCCTGAGTAGCCTGTATTACTTTTGTGATAAGGGATGACTTAGCCTCTGCCTGAAACAGCCCTGGAGAGAAGGATTTCACTGTTTTATGCCCCAATCCATCCATTTCCAGAAGCTTTCTTTTATGATCTGTGTTTATAACATTTTTAATGATGAATGTATATATATAAAAGGCTAATATGCAAAGTGTCCCCGCAGGAGTTCAACCAGGAGACCTGGAGTTTGATCACTCGCTATGACGTGTGCTGATCAACAGGGGGAGGCATGGAACGAAGGAAGGCCCCAGCCAGCAGCCAGCAGCTGGAAGCCAGAAAAGGGAGGCCTCAGCTGGCAGCCAGAAGGCCCCAATCGGCGCTGATCGCTGGCCAGGCCTAAGGGCCCTACCTGTGCATGAATTTCATTCATTGAGTCTCTAGTATATAATAAAATGGCTTCCTAAAATCTCCACATCTCTCTCTTTTTTTAAAGGCACATCTTTCTATTAGTCATTTTCTATAAGGAATATTAATCTAGCTAACTTCACTTTATCACTCTAGTTTGGTTTTAAGATACTATTTTGTTCCAGTATCAAAAGTTTAGATTTTTCATTAGAACCCAGAATGCCATTAAATTTCAAATTTGGCTAATACTCTAATTTACACTATTTGGACATAGTAAAAGGTTAGGGGTTTTTTGTTTTGTTTTTTTGTTTTGTTTTTGCAGACACTGTCAAATCATTTTACTTTCTTGACTGTCTTATTACCAGGTTAGCTTTGAGGACTGCAATTTAAAAGTAATAACATTGATGTATGTAAGACTAAAGAAATGTTATTATAATTACATAAAAATCTTTGAACTAGATACCTTATTCAAGGTCTATGTTTTTCCTTATCAACAAGTTCAGGGACTAATTACAACACTGGGCAGTGTTGCTCCTTAAGAGCACAAACCTATCTTTCCCAGGGTGCACGTTCTACTGCAGGATAACACATATTAGCCAAGGACGTGATGAACTATTCTTGAAAAAGCACACACGCCGGATTCCTAAATTTACAACATGGATTATTTTTTAAGTTCTGTGTTGCACATATTTGTGTACTATAGATCTACTGATGCTATAAAAGATGAGAAAAGTTGTACATTCCCTAAGTAATAAAGATGTATATTTGAAAAATGTTACCTTCTCAAGTAAGTATAAAAAAATAATTTTTTTTCTTTTCCTTCTTTATTAAGTACTACTTGTCACATAAGTGCTGTGTTATAATTATTTGCTTTTTAAAGTAGTCCATATTATCAGCAAGTGGTTAGGTGACTAGATATGGGCAGCAAAAAAAAGAAAAAGAAAAAGAAAAAGAAAAAGAAAAAGAAAAAGAAAAAGAAAAAGAAAAAAAGAGGGCATATTAGTCACAGTCAGCCGTGTGAAACTTTAACATCATATATTTTTAGCCTCGTGTTGCACAGCTGAGATTAGCTTACTGCCAAGTTGGGTACACAGTGGACATTTAACTTTGTAATAATGAAGGACTTAAAGAGGTTATGCAGAGGATAACTATGCTCAGAATTTTTCAAGAGTAATCTATTTTCAGACTATTTAAAAGTTATCTAGGTATCCTCTACTTAAAAGATTCCAGAGAAAAAAGTAAATTTGTTTAGCTCAGCCAGCGTGGCTCAGTGGTTGAGTGTTGACCTATGAGCCAGGAGGTCATGGTTCCTTTCCTGATCCAGGTTGTGGGCTCAATGGATCATGCAGGAGGCAGCTGATCAATAAATCTCTCTCATCATTGAGATTCCCTCTCCCTTCCTCTCTGAAATCAATAAAAACTATATATTTTTTTAAAGAAGTAAATTTGTTTAATAAGAAAAAGAGGAGTAGAGATGGTAAGAAAGAGGTGGTACAGTGTGTGGTTAAGAAATGAGACTCTGGAGCCAGACAGCCCATGTTCATTCTCTAGCTCGGCCATTTATTGACTGTGTAACCTAGAGCAAATTACTTAACTTCTCTGTGCTTCAGTTTTCACATCTCCAAAATGGGAATATCTCATAGAGTGCTTGTGAGGATTAAATGATATAAATATTTATGAAATGCATAGAACAGTATCTGACATATAGTCAGCACTTCTATGTGTCTACTATTATTTTTAACTTAAAATGTAGCATGAAAAATATAAATTATGTAAAATAAAGCATTTCCTTGGAAAGGAAATCAACAAACTGAATAAAAATCAATTTTACAAGTATTTACTGAACATTTCCTATGTGCCAGAAACTGTTCTAAGCACAGAGGTGGAGCAGGAAACAAGATAGATGAGGTCCCTGCTCTCATATCACTTAAGGAACCAAATAACAGATTAATGAAGTAAAAATAACCAGATTGTGCTATGAAAAACACAAAACAATGAGTGAGAAAGAGGTGAAATACTCTATTTATAAATTCTGTCTTAAGAAATACAACACATTAAATGGATTAAGTATTCCTTATGTGTTGATGTATTATAAAGGGAAAATTACTCCTAAACACCTGTGAATTCAACATGAGTTTACACGTTGACAGTTCTTAAGTTCATCTGCAATGGGCCATCACCAAAATGGCCACTTCCACCTGATGGAGGCTCTTTCTGGTAGCCTGAGGTATTCTAAATAAAAAACACAATGAAACTTTCATGTTTTATTCAATACTAGAGGCTCACTGCACAAAATTCGTGAACTGGTAGGGTCCCTAGCAGCTGCCAGCTGCCGCTGCCCAGGCCTCTCTCCCTTCCCCTGGCCGGCCCCACCCCCTGGTTGAACTCCTGGATAACTCCCAGTCGAGGGGACAATTTGCATACTATGCTTTTATTATATAGGACTAGAGGCCCGGTGCATGGAATTCATGCATGGGTGCGGTCCCTAAGCCTGGCTGGCAATTGAAGCTCGAGTGTCTGGTGTGGAAGGGCAGGTCCCAGCTGACCTCTAGGCCCTGGGCAGCACATGGGCCCCTGGGCCCCCGCGTCCCCCCCTCCACACCTGGGAGCTAGGCGGCAGCCCCACCCCCTGCCACTGTCACTGGTCGCCTTGGGCTGGCACTGCTAGCTCACCTGCTCCACCATCCCGCCATGGTCCCACTCTCATCAGGGACCATAGGTGCCGGCAGCGCCTCCACTACTGCCTGCTGCCAGCAGCCTGTTGCAGACGCCCACCATGTTCCACACTGCTCCCTGGTGGTCAGCACATGTCATAGCGAGCAGTCAAACTCCCGATTGAGGGGACTATTTGCATTTTAGGCTTTTATTATATAGGACTAGAGGTCCGGTTCACAGATTCATGCACATTTAAAGTAAATTAATTAAAAGGTGGCCAGCAGGGCTGGATTGGGTGAGACGGACCGGACACACCCCAGAACAGTGATGGCGAACCTTTTGAGCTCAGAGTGTCAGCATTTTGAAAAACCCTAACTTAACTCTGGTGCCATGTCACATATAGAAATTTTTTGATATTTGCAACCATAGTAAAACAAAGACTTATATTTTTGATGTTTATTTTATATATTTAAATGCCATTTAACAAAGAAAAATCAACCAAAAAAATGAGGTGACACGCATGTCACAGGTTTGCCATCACTGCCCTAGAGCCAAGCTCCCATGTTCCCTCCCCAGCCGGCCGCACCTGGGGTGGCACCAGGCTCGTAGGGCGTCTGTGGAGTGAGCGGGATCCCTCTGGCAGTTGGGGTCCCTCGGCCTGGCCTGCCGGGATCAGGCCAAAACCAGCAGTCCGACATCCCTTGAGGGCTCCCGGAGTGCGAGAGGGCTCTCTGCAAAGTTGCTGTGGCTTGGCAACTCCTGCCTTGAGTGTCTGCCCCTTGGTGGTCAATGCATGTCATAGCTATCAGCCAGTCGGCCGATAGGCCGGTTGCTCAGCCTTTTATATATATAAATGTGGTACTCAAGATAAACAACTTTTTAAAATGCTAAATAATTTATATTAGGTTATCTGTTTTATCTACATAATTATGTAACAGTTTAGGGAAAGCACACCTTACTCTGAAGCTGTGTGACTTCTCTTGCGAAGACACTGTCAATTGTGGCTGGCATCTGCTTATAGAGAGAATTTGAGAGGTCCGCCTTAGTGGTACCTTTGTATTTTGCCTAGGGAGGGAAAAAATAAAACAAATAAGTAAACATTCCTCTTTTTTACTGTGAATATTAAAAGTGAATAAAAAGAAACTTTCTTCAGAAACAGAATATAAAAATCTGAAGAGCATTTTAATCCTGGATCTGACAAACATCTTTTTAAGAAAGACAAATACAATTTACCATGGAGAAAGCTTTAAACCAGACACGCAAGAAAAAAATGCCTATGTAAACCCATGTGCATTTCTAAAAGTAAATCTATTTGTGTTTACATAGAGTTTCATCTGTTTGATCAGCGAAGAAAAACTGGAGAGCAATGAGACATTTGAGTTGCTCCAGAAGACACAAGTTGTTATGTCCTCCTGAATGCAGCCCTCAGTGGCTGGAGCATCGGCCTGTGGACTGGAGGGTCCTGGGTTTGATTCCGGTCAAGGGCACATGCCCAGGTTGTGGGCTCAATCCCCACTAGGGGGCATGCAAGAGGCAGCCAATCAATCACTCTCTCATCATTGATGTTTCTCTCTCTCTCTCCCTCTCCCTTCCTCTCTGAAATCAATAAAAATATATTTTTAAAAACAAATTCTATAGAACCTGAATGCAAAGAACAGAGCTCCTTTACTCAAATCTTCTTACCCTCCTACCAAGATGAGGGGGAGGAGTCTGTTTGCTTTTTCTTCGCTCACACCTCCGGTCTGCACTGTTCTAAGTGATCTCAGTCACTCCTCTTAAAGAGAAACATTCATTCACCAATTCCTCTTGGGAAGATTCGGTTCAAAGTAACACAACAGAATGCCCACATCCACGGCTTTGCTCTACAGTTAACTCCTTCAGGAAAATGAATAACTAAGAACATCAAGAACTCCTTCCTCTCTGAAATCAATAAAAATATTTTTTAAAAAGAAAATAATAATTCTATATAAATAATAAAGGTTTGGAGTCAAAACACAGACACATAATAAAACACATCAACCATAGCCAGTAAAATATGTCAATTTACAAGAGTTAATTGATAGTGCATAGAATTACAAAATTATATATTACCAACATTCAGTGGTGCTTTTGAAAATATTATTCTTCAACTTCAATGCACAGACTTTTATCTATATAAATATAAAAAGAAAACGCAAGCCATTTTTGCCAGGTTTTGATCCCTTACCTCAGAAATAAAAGCACCAATATTTTTTACATGGTTCAGCATCGGAGTGTCAGTCACAAATGTACACTTGTCCTTAGATTTTTTATACTCTTCTCTATAATGGATCTAAAAGAGAGAATAATTCACATAAGAGGGAGACAAAAAAAAAAAAAAAAACAATTTCAGTGCTCTGGTGCTGAACAGAAGAATTAACATGAGAAAGTCCATTTTCTGCAGTAAATACTTAAATGTGGAATGATGCTCAAAATAAGTCAAATAAACTGGTATCCAGAACAGAACTGCAAAATGATGGGCATAATAAAGGAAGCCTTTTCTTTAGATGAACAAGGGTCCGGTTATCGTCAAGGACCACGTGTGTTGAACCCACAATGATGATGATTCCTGCTGCCCAGTTTGTTACTTTTAAGCCACTGACCTTATCAGTGAAGCCTATGGTCAAACAGAAATATAGCTGCCTACCTCTAGGTTTAAAACAAGGAGTCATCAGGACAGATGAAACCATTTAAGAAGGAGAGGCAGAAATTAAACAAATGAAGATTAGTATTATATTAGCATCATTACCTAGACCCACTGGATTAGAGGAAGGGACTTCAATTATGGTCACCATGGGTTTCCTGTTACTAATTAATTCCACTCAAAGTTATCCAATTTATGAGCACCATAGGCCTCCCATCCTCCACCCCTTCCTCAACAAAAATAGAACCTGCCCAGAAAGTTTGCCGCATGGCTGAGATTATTCCAGAACGCCCCCTTGCTGTGAATAAGCAGATGAGCACGGAAAAGATCAGAGAGGCTTTGCTGAGCATGCTCATTTCTCCACTTGTACTCACTAGTAAAATGAGTCACTCCTTTTTGTTCTTGGACAGAGGCCAGAATTGCTATTCTGGGGAAACACCCCACATGGACATACGAGCCAAAAAAAAAGTTAGGAATTATGGAGAAGGACCTAAAATGTAATCCCACTATCACACTAACTGCAGCCCAATCTGAAAACTGGGGAGGCAAAATTTACGACTATTTGAGAGGACGAAGGTATTTGCTAAAAGTTATATCACCCTGTAATAAAGTCATGTTTATCTACCCAACACTATAAATACTTAGGCTGAAAAAAAGGTCCCATGGTCTTCCTAATTATAGCCTAAAAGTAAAGTTTAATTCTATATACTCCCTGTTCCTTAAAGGACATGACTAATACTGATGTTACACACAAACATTACATAGGGATTTTACCACATGCAAACCTGATTGGAAGGGCATTATTCGACTGTAGCCAGATATGAACATACTAAGCAATGTTATTTCAAAATACCGAATTTCACTGCTGTGACTTTTAGATATTATACGCCTACCACATCAAACATTTGCTTTATTCATGAAATCAACATTAGAACATATTTATCTTATCTGAGCACTAAATTACTTTTTTCTTCTTCTCAGAGATTAGCCATAATTTTAGGCCTCTGCAAATCACCCTCCTCAATCACTAGTAATTAAACCGTTAAAGGCAGTATGATAAATAGCAGGCTATTTTGATCATAGGGAGAGGGGGAAAAGTACCCCTGTTATATAATAAGTGTGAGAGAAAATAACCTGTCATTAGGCTTAAGTCTGCCTCATTATTTTTATCTTCCACCACCATCTTTCCCTCTCACATCCACATTCTTCACTGCAGTGGTATGTGTGAGGGCCACGGGCTTCCTGATAAGCTCTGACCTGAGCAGAATGTTCAGGAAGGCAGCAGGGATAAGGGTGAAGTACTTACTTCCCTTGCTATGCAGGCAAATAGTTCAGAATTAAGTGTGGTCTCCATTCCTTACTTTGTCCTTTATTTAAAAGACACACACACACACACACACACACACACACACACACTTCTAATTTCTAATGAATTATATAATACTAGAGGCCCAATGCATGAAATTCATGCAAGGGGCTCAGCCCTCACAGCCCTGGATTCATCCGGAAGGTCATACAGAAGGTCGTTCAGCCGTCAGTCTAATTAGCATATTACACTTTTATTATTATAGATGAATAGCAAGAGCATATTGTCTTAAATTTTTATATAAAAAAGTCACATATTAGTAGTCTTCCTATTCAAGGAGAAGACAGATGAAAATGCACCAATGAGGGACACAAACTCTTCAGCAAAATAACAATCACTGAGCAGACAGCCATTTCCTAATACAACCATGTATATATTCCTGAGACAAGCATGGCTCTATCTCTTAGGTGGATTGGCTGTCCAACCCCTGTCTTTCTTAATAACAGAGCCCAAATGTATTTATGAGAGTAGCCAGACCTCTCCCCCAGCCGCAGAGTACAAATTGCTCTAAACCAGGCAGGGTTTCCTCAGTCCCCTTGGCTAGTGATTGTCCTGGAAAGGCCAGGTGCCCAGCTCTGGTTCAAGACATTAGTGGAGTCTTCCCAGCAGTGTTCTGGTGTTTCTGGTGTAAAGGGAGGGACTTGCTGGCATAGCCCTTTGCCACATAACCCTTCCACCTTTTTCCTTCCCTAGTCACAGGGACGCAGCAACACCAATGGTGTCACAATAAGACCTGAAGCCACCATGCTAATTTTGACAGAGCAGAAGAAGAAAAGGAATCTGAGAAACTAATAGCATCAAATATGCCAAAACTAGCCCCCCCCCCCCATCTCCAGGCTTCACATGTAAAAAATATAAATACCCATTTGTTAAACCTCTGTGCCAGGGTTTTCCTGTTACTTGCAACCTTCTGTACTCATAACCAATACAGCATCCAAGTTACGTTCTGACTGAGAAAAAAAGGGAAAGTTGATGATTTAATGATCATTAAGATGACCAAAATATTCACTTTCTGCTTTGACCTCACCCATTAGTCCCACCATCTCTCAGCCACAATGAGAGTTAAATTATATCAGTAGTGCTCCCTCCTCCTCTCCCAGTTTCTTTCATTGTAGTGTGAGATTGGCTAATGGCTGAAAGGGGATGACAGATGCAGAAACGTTTGAGGATATTTCCGCTCACAAGCATTCTAGACAAAAGAAAGTCCTTTCACCAACGGAGCCATATTGCTAAATGCAGGGAGCCTGGAGGAAAGAACCAGGGCTCCACTGCTATTTGTAACGGGTGCCTCCAGCCAAGGCTGCTCTCTCGGTTCTCTAAACAGATTCAGAGCTTTCTCCGGAAGGGGAGCCACGGATCTAATGTTTTCAGCACTGAAAGGACTTGCCCACAACCCACAAAGCTCATTTGCCTGGAAACTGCTCTTTCTGCTGCACTGCAGATTATCACCCTGAAAAGGGTTCAACCAAAACACTGAGACAGAGGCTTCATGCAGATGTGGCCAAACTTGCCCTGCAGAGACTTGATGCCTAATTTATAAGAAACATACAAAGGCTCACCTTTACCCTAATATTTTTAAGTCCATGTGACAAAAGGCCTCTAGATCCATGCTTCTGACTGCTCAACCTAGTCAAGAGGTTTGATTTATTCAAGGGATTGAGTAGATAGTTGACCAACAGGCTGAATAACAGAGAGGGGCTAAATGAGAAGCATGACTTGGTTAACAGAAGAAGAGAAGAGGCTGTCTCAGAGGCCAGGTGCTGTCTTCTAGGTTGGGAAGTGGGTTATGCAGAAGAAAACCCCACAACATGGGCAGGGAAAGTACAAAGCAGAAACTAGGGAGGGCAAAGAAAACTTGAAAAATGCCTCATTCTGATCCTCAGGGTGAAGCCGCCTGATCTGGAAAATGGAGAATTCTAAACAGTGCAGGCCTCCCAGGGCTTCTCTAGACCAATCTAATTTACTATATTAATAAATTATCTGGCAAGGACATGATACAGCAAGTCTGCAGGTCTGCTGGTGACCCCAAGCTCTCAGGGAGCGTGAAATGTCAAACTAAAGGAGCTGAAATGGGGAAGCTCACCAAGGGCCATGCCAGAGGGCAGACAGCTACACATGACATTCTTTCCTAGCAAGGTGAAAATCATTCAAACGACTATGAAAAGTTGATGAGCCCTAAGCACTCAAAAATTAGGATTGAAACTGGCTGAGAAATATGTCCTACAAAGGTTGATCTAATAGCTCTCTGTAACCCCAAGTCCAAGATACCCTAACTATCATCACAAAGGGTACATGGAGCAAAAAGAAAGATCGTCCCACCCTGCCCACACTAGTAACCCGAGGCCATCCATATTTGGACTGCTGTGCACAGATCTGCTTATCACACCCCAATAAACACATTCAAGATCTAGAAGAGGTCCAAAGAGAGACAGGACGATAACGAAGGCAATATAGAAAGGCTACTGTATGAAGATAAACCTGTAAAACAACCCATGAAGCAGACTGACAAGTGGCTCTGGACTTAGCTAGACCTAAGCTTCAATTTTGTCCCCACCCCTAACTAGCCAGGTAGTCTTGGGCTAGACAATCTTGCACCAACCATGAACTGAGGCTCATCGAACCAATGACAGAGTACAATAATGTACATGGAGTGCCTCGCACAGGGCAAGAGAGGAAGGACATCATGGTGGCCATGACTTGGGAGTCGGACTTTGTTTCAAATCCCAGGTCTGTGGCTCACTAGCTATGTGATTTGATCAACAGAATGTAAGGCTGCTTCTTAAAGCTTCATTCAGTATGTAGTACTCTACCGAGCAGGCAAGTAACACACCAAATTCTCTTGGTGACAGAGGCTGCAGACAGACTTCCTTCAAACAAACAAAAAGGCTCAGGTAAATACATGATTCCCCTTTGGGATATAATGAATTAGAAAACAAAACTAAGGGATTTGAAGGTTGATCTTTAAATCGAATTTGAGGCTAGGGAAAGACAGGCATACTGAGTTAAATGTGGACACTAACAGATACGCACTGTCAGAGGCATAATGGAGACTTGACTGGAATCCCATCCAACTCAGTGTGTCAACTCATCCATTTTATATCTGTTTTAGTTCTGTAATTAATGCAACCTCAAATACACAGTTTAGACAACCATTTAGTCATGCAGACAATATAACAGAGATAACTTCAAATTTAAGTTCATCTGCTCCATATAAAAACATTGGTAGTGCCCTGATTGGTGTGGCTCAGTTGCATCAAAAGGTCACTGGTTCGATTCCTGGTCCGGGCACATGTCCAGGTCTTGAGTTTGATCCCCAGTTGGGATGTGTGCAGAGGCAATCAATTGATTTTTCTCTTTCACATGGATGTCTCTCTCTCTCAAATCAATAAAAACGTATTTTTTAAAAAGTACTTCCTCTTTAAAAAATCTGTAATAATGAAAGGGTAATATGCTAATTACACCGGACATCTGCCGGATGTCATTCTGGACATCCTTCCTAATGAAGCCGGAGCCGAGGGAAGCCAGCCCAGGTCCCGGGTGCCTGCCAGCAGCCGGAGGGAAGCCGGTGCCTGCAGCCGGGGGAAGGAAGGCCTACTCTTGCACGAATTTTCATGTATCAGGCCTCTAGTAAATGAATAAAAGGACTGGTAGTGTTACCATTACTAATATTAGTATAAAAATTAATAATAACGGTAAGAAAAACTGCATGGAAATCTAGAGTGAGAGATAACACAGCAGTGTGGCTAAGAGAGAGTGCTTTGTGTTTAAATCCCCACTGCCTAACTGTGTGACCCAGGAAAGTTACTTAGCCTCCCTGAGTCTTTGCTTCCTCACCTCTAAATGGGAAAAACAACAGAGCCTACCTCATAAGCTCCAATGCCTAGCACATGGCATTGAATAAATCTTAACTACTGCTGATATTATTTTCATTTTGGTATTATTACAGTTTACAACAAACTTTCACATGTAGTAGCTTATGACTATTATTAAATAATGGCACTAAGAAATACTTAATTATGTCACATGTCAAGTATATGGGAAGGGGTATGCTTTCCACCATCCTTTGGCTCTTTCTGACAAATTTCTGTCACAAGGCAATTTCCTGACAACTTTTTTAATGAGGATCATCTAAATTCTTATCCCTAGTGAGCAATACTTTTCCTGTGCCTCTAGAATTTTAGTTTAATTATTGACTGTAAAAATATATAAATATGAGTGAATTCTACAATTCTATGATTCCCTTGAAATATATAAACTGATTCCAGTTAATGAAAAAAGTCACAATAAAAATGCTCCTTTTCATTACTATCATCATTATCACCTAGTCTGGGGTTCTTAACATGTAGCTCAATTATCCATAAATTCTAAACTGGAAATCAACGTTATATGCACATAGATATTATATGAAATTTTTTTGGTTTGGAAAACTACTGCATTCATCATATTCCTCAAAAGGCCCCCAAATGCTTTTTTAAAAATCATTCATTTATGTAGAGATTTTTCTAAAACACTTCATATCATTACAAAATTAAATATTTACAAATTGTAAAGACTTTGGGTTCTCAAAGGAATATGCTCTGAATTCTTGAGTTCACTGTCGGCAAACTCATTAGTCAACAGAGCCAAATATCAACAGTACAACGATTGAAATTTCTTTTGAGAGCCAAATTTTTTAAACTTAAACTATATAGGTAGGTATACTGTTATTAACTTAATTAGGGTACTCCTAAGGCTTAGGAAGAGCCACACTCAAGGGGCCAAAGAACCACATGTGGCTCGAGAGCCGCAGTTTGCCGACCACGGCCATAGATTATCTTTAAGGGATTAAATTTAGGAAATCTTTATAAAGCACTGATTACACAAAAGAAGTACTGTACAGAGTATTAACTTTTTTGTTTACTTTCTTAAATGAAATTCCTATTGCCAGAATGACCAAAATCCATAAGAAACAGGATTCTGGATTAAGAACACAGAGTCCTGCTCCCACAGAAATTCTCTGTATGGGTGACCTTGGAGAAATTACCTAAAATTTCTAGACTCCGTTCCATGATCTGGAAAACAACCATGTTTTAATAGGTGGTTCCAGGGTTTTCTTCCCAGCTCTATGATTCTATGGCATAATAGTCTATGACACACAATGCAGAATGAGACAAAAATTTCTTAAGCCACTTACATCGCTAATGAGTTCGGTGCATTTTCTGGCCAATTCCATGCTCAGGTCTTCAATAACAGGCTTAAAGAATACCTGTCCAGAGAAAAAGGAAAGGAGACAAACTTCTAATCACCAGCTTCCAGGCACAAATGACCTTCTTCGGCAGGTGCTCGCACACTCACCTTGTCTTCTTCATTTTCTTCTTCCTCCGCTTTCTCCTCTTCAGTTTCACCCTTTACATCCTCATATATAGGGACCCTCATTTTTACTCCCTCTCGCTATATGTATGTACACTGTTTTAATTCTCTAATGTAACATCTGTTTATGTTTATGGCACCCTTGAGATCTTAGCATCTCCGGTGTTCTGGCAGAAATGACCTTGCCCAGGCCTCCTCCCTATTTAGCTCACACTTCACTCTCCTTATCATAACTGTGTGTGAGTGGATGGAACAGAATCCCGGAGGTGGACCAGGGCTAGCCTCCTAAGGGGAAATAACATTTCAACGAGCAAAATTCAGTTTTATGAACATTCAAGTCAGCATTTTTTTTAAACTAAGAAATTCAAAAAAGACAATTTATTTATATTTCTCTAATTCAATTCATTCATAAAAGAATTTGAAAAAGACTTCAAGATTCTGGGAAAACCACTCAGCTTTAACACTCAAGATAGCATAGTCAGAAGCCTGTTATCTCAAAGAATTCCTCAACTCCTTCTAAATAAAGCTTTCACTAGAATGTCAGACATATCTCTGATTTGGTATAGTGAATCTGGATCATTCAAACTCATTTCATTAACCTAAGTTAAATTTTTTATGAGATATAAACGTACTTGTCACATTCTTAAAAGTACTTTAAATTAGCTGATTAAAGGCTAGTAATTTATTATGAAAAGCTCTTTGAACCCTTCAGAGAATCTATTCTGAGTTAATTATAACTGTTAATCCTATATTGCTATTGTATTATTTTAATTGTAAATATCATTAAACCTGAGAAGTTGCAGTTAACATAGGTTGATATATCATTTAAGATTTCTAGAAACATCATTGTTTCAAAAAATAATAATCATTTCTTTCAATTCTTCCCATGGTGTCAATTTTTACAAACTTGATAGTTATTTTTATATTCTTCAAAACATACTACACACCCGGAAAAGTTTGGAAAAATAAACTATAACAATACTTATAATGTGGTATGTGTCATCGATTATATAATTAAAAATGTATTTTTCAAAACAAACACTCTCATGTCAATTTAGGCAATTCTAAGATTCTATCCAACTCATAATTTATCAATTTGGTTATTTAAATCTTAGGATAAATTAATACTTATACAGCAATCGCAGATAAGCACTGAGCATAAAAATACCTTATGGTGAATAATTAAACTAATTATACAAAATATAACTTCATTAAAAAATAATACATCATTTAAATAGCTAAGTATAATGTTATTTTCTCTTGGTATCAAATCTAGTTTTAAATTTAGTTTTTAAAATGCCTTAGCCTTGCCTAAATTAAAACTTCTGACAAGAAAAAGTCTACACGGTCATCATGTGTAAATAATTTTTCAAACTGTGTTCCATGAGGCTAAAGTTCCATAGAACACTCTAAAGGAGAAAAGGGAATTTCTAAAACATGTTTGGGGAAACCTGTACACTAATTTCTACCCCTACCACTAAAGAGCCACACAGCATAATGACACATTAGAAGCTCTGAGAAGACTCACAACCAAGAAAAGTATTTGCTTAACTCAGCATTTCCCAAACAATGAAATCCTGTCCATCAAATCTATTCTAATCTTCTTACTTACCTATTTATTAATGCTATCTGATATTCCAGAAAACTAACATTCTTCTGTGAAATAGTACTTAGGGAAACTGTTCTATTCTAAAAAAAGTAATGTGTCCTAGAAGACTCATTGGTCTTTTCATGAAACAATTTTTGATACAGGCTATAACTTAATGGCACCATATATCCTGCTTATCTGCAATACTGAGTTTGGAAAACTTAACTTTAAAATAACAGCCCCGTCATGCCAGTGTAGAAAATTCTATAAGGAAATTCTCCTCACATTAGAGAGCAGAATGTATGGGTTCTGACTGATTCCCTCAAGTCCTCTGCCAAAAACTATATACTACAGAAGATCGATTCCATTATCTTTATTTGGAAATATGGAAGAGCATTTTCTATAAGCTTTTCTTGCAAACTTCCAGTGGTGTAGGGGAAAAAATCTTGCCACAGCTGCCTAAGATTCACCTCTTGGCTAGTGTTTGAGGTGACAATACTTGCATTGCTCATGATGACATCTATTCACCATGGTGAATTACCTTCATCATACTTCTGGTGAATTACCTTCATTAGACTTCAATGGCTGCTTTTTCTCATTTCCCATCATGTAATAAGTTCTCAATGACTCTTCACTGTGCTGGAAGAAAATAATTTGTTGAGATTATATAGAAACATTATGAAAGCAAAACCAAACACCATATGTGAACATAAATTTTCCATTTGAGATTTTAGAATCAAAATTTTTAAGCCACGAAGAACCTTAAGAAATCAATCCTACTAAAGCCCTCTTTTTTACAGAGGACAAAATTATGATCAAGATAAATTATTTGTTTTACTCAGAAAATTATGCAATGGGGCATTAGGACCAGAATTTAACTAGAGCCCCAAGTCCATGCATTCAAGTAAGTGTGTTATGCCAGGCACTGTGCTTGGTGTCAGAGATGCAGTGGTGAGTAAAACACACTTAGTACTAATATAAGATAGGGAATAAGAAACGCATCATTCAAGACTTGCTGGAGGAACCCCTTAATGGATTGTTTGGAGAGTTAGACATATTAGTACTTTTGATTGAATGCATTTTTCCTTTCACTTATAGATATAATACAAAATTCATGTAACATTTTCTCTAAAACATTTTAAACCCTGCACTTTATCACAGCAGAGCACTCTTGTCAATAGCTTCAAAATGTGACTTGGGGAATAAGAAGAAAGTGTTATTCATTGATAGCTATCACGTTTCAATAGTCCCTATCATCCGCTTTAAAAAAAATAAATATATTTTAATACATATTTTCACCTTAGGGAGTCCCAAAAGGAAATTTCTGTATAGTTGCTAATCCCTACTACTTAGTGAGCATTTCATTTTATGTAATGTACTCTTTGCATGAATACTCTATCCATGCCCTGATTCAGAATGAGGATCACCTTACTTATAGCCAGATACCCTACTTCCAGGACTGGCTCTCTCATATCTTCTAGGACAAATTATTTAATCCCTCTCTGCCTCTCATTGAGAATCAGTTCTGAGTAGAGGAAAACTTACAGATATAAACTGATTTTTTTTCAGAGGGATGTGAATGGCGGTAGAAGAGGGCATAGAGAGGATAAAGGGTAATGGAAAAAAGAAAAAAAAAAAAGGATGCTTTTATTCATTTCAACAATTCAGCTTTGCAGTAAAAGACAAGAAAGCAACTGTGAGCTAAAGCCCATATTTGCATTAGTACCAGTCAATGGAAGAAGACAAAATAACTTATTTTTAATTATATTCAAGGTGTTTGTCCTATTAATGTGAAAGTTAAACATGCAAAAATCAATTTCACCGATGAAATATTACTTTCCAGCATATTAGAAAAAGAAATAAGATTACTCCAGATATAAAAAATATTAATTCACCAGTTCTTATTATAAAACATTCACTGTAAATGGTTAGGTGAGAGAGGATTCAGTTCATCTGACTTGTTTCTCTGCTTTCCTAGTCTTTCACATACTCAATTTTAGTTGCCTTGGCTTTTGGTTTTATTGTGGTTTTCTTGTTGCTATTATGTTTGTTTGCTTGTTTGTTTTTATGACTACCTCCCAGAAGGTTCTCAGTTGAATTCCTGGTTATTTTACTTTTGCTTCATGTATCTCCCCATCCTTTGGCATCTGTCCAAAAGAGAACTTTACTAATAGGTGGGGGTTGGGGGTGGGAGGGTGGGATCGTTTCTTAAAACAAGAAAAGTAAGCTCTCTAGAGCAATTTGTCTTCTTTATAAAAGAGTTCTGCTTAATATTAGCTCTATCTATTTTTACAGTTTACATTCATTAAGCCTATCTTATTTCTAATAGCTATTTCATTATTGTTTGTTAAGTAGAAATCAAAAGAATACAAAGCAACTTGGATAATTGTCACCTTTACCAATTATGCCATTAAAATAAGATTTAATAGAGTGTTTGTCTGTGTTCCTATTCCTGTCTTCACAAATATAGATCCTACTTACAAATGAAACCCACACATCTAACTTGGTATTGGGGGAGTAGGAGAAAAAGAAACTGCAAATAACTTTTGACATAACAATTTCCAGGTTGGTTGTGTTTGGGATGCCAAAATTAAAAATATGTACTCTTCTAGATATACTGACAGGAAAACAGTATTCTTATTCGGAGTCTACATTAACATAACCACCCAGTAGACTGAAGGACATTGGTCTAATTTGCTACTTACTTGAGATATTAGTTCAGCTTTAATAACAACGAGGTTAAAACCACAATCACTTCCACAATCCTGCACACCAAGAGAAAAGAAGCTCATGGTTTGAGTAGCCTCTATGTGGCCTGTAACCAGAACTAAAGGACCAGGCAGGATCAGTTTGGCTATCCTCAAAGCATCCCTTTTCTGAAGTTTTGTGTGACATGTCAGGAATAATTGTAAAAGACTCTGAAACTAGCAAATCCTATCGAATAATAGAGAAACATGGTAATTAACCGTAACTTTGCTACCCTTTCCATTGGCTAATTAGCAAGATATGCAAATTAACTGCCAACCAAGATGGCCGTCGGCAGCCAGCAGCTGAAGTGAACATGAGGCTTGGTTGCCCCAGCGATGGAGGAAGCCAAGGTTCCCCGCCTGCCGCAGCTCAGCTCTAAGCTCCGGATGCAACAATGTTGCAATTATAGAAGCTAAACAAGCTCCAGGTACCTGCTTTCAGTCAGCGGGGCCTCAGAGCTGGAGCTGGCTCTTAGCTCCAGTGACAGCTATAGAAGGTAAATAAATCCCAGAATAAAAAACTAAATAAAAAAAAAAGGAGAGGCTGGGAGCTTCAGTCACCCGCCAGCCTGAAAATGGCCCTCAGGCCCTCACCCAGACTGGCCCGGCACCTCAGTGGGGACCCCCACCCTGAAGGGGGTGTGACCAGCTGCAAACAGCCATCAGTCTGTCATCCAGGCTGGCCAGGCACCCAAGCGGGACCCCCACCCTGATCCGGGACACTCTTCAGGGCAAACCAGCCGGCCCCCACCCGTGCACCAGGCCTCTATCCTGTATAGTAAAAGGGTAATATGCAAACTGACCCTAACAGCAGAAAGACTGGGAATGACTGGTCACTATGACACACACTGACCACCAGGGGGCAGACGCTCAATGCAGGAGCTGCCCTCTGGTGGTCAGTGCGCTCTCATATGGGGGAGCTCTGCTCAGCCACAAGCCAGGCTGATGGCTGACAGTACAGCGGTGGTGGTGGGAGCCTCTCCTGCCTCCTCAGCAGCGCTAAGGTTTGCTCCCTGCTGGCAAGTGGGCATCCCCTGAGGGCTGCCGGGCTTCCAGAGGGATGTCTGATTGCCATCTTAGGCCCAATCCCCTGGGGAGCAGGCTTAGGCTGGCTTAGGCCAGCAAGTGGTCATCCCCTGAGGGGTCCCAGACTGCGAGAGGGCACAGGCCGGGCTGAGGGACCCCTCGCCCTGAGTGCACAAATTTTTGTGCACTGGGCCTGTAGTAATAATAATAATAATAATAATAA